ATTGTCTCTAGAGTAATGTAAAACCAACAGTAACTAACAAAAATATGCTAAGATAAGCTGTCAGAAAGACTTGAAAGTGACTGTGTGTCGCTTGAAAACACTGGTTAAAATTCACCTTATTTACCACTATAGAGAACTTACTTCATTCCCTTGTAGAATCTGAGGTTATCTTCCAAATGGTTGGAACTGATCCTGGCCTTGTTCATCTCTCAGTTCCCTTTACATGGACTGCATGGGTAAAACAATCAGTTTTGAAATGCAGTGAACATAGGCCAAGGTTGAAATTTTTTCACTGTTGACAAACAAATCTTTCCCACTTTGTACAGATGTTATTGTTGATGGAGAAGTATGCACTGAAATGCCCAATTCTTTATCGGAGACTCGGCTGCAATCTTACACTACACAAAGTCTTGGAGGCACTTATTTTTTTTGTATAGCTTTTAAAACGCATCTTGCTTGATATGCACTCATTTTAGTATTACTAATTAAGTTTATTATCACAATTATAAATATTCTAGTTTATTAATATACATACACTGTAATTAGTTTTACAAATTTGAATTTCATTGTATTTTAAGTTGTAAAGCGCTGTTGATCAGTAAATGTAAATATTGTCATAGAAGTTATTAAATTATTATATTATTCTTATTTTAGAGATTGTAAACACCCGAAAAGCTCTTCAAAGGTGTCTCACTTATCTTAGATTGCATGAAAAATTGGCCGTGATGTTTTGCTGCATTGTGTATATGATGTCACTTCCTATCTGCTTGACTGGTGCCAACTAGTTTGTGATACACTCAGTCATTTCTGAATCAAGTAATGGCAGACAGCTGAAACCAAGAAACAAGGTCAAAATAATCTGACTTCCCGTGCAAATTTCAAATAAATTTGGCATGGTAAGTACTCAGCACTTCTACTTCCCAAAAATGAAGACAGAAGGAAATGCAAAATTTTTCAACAAAAAGTTCTACAGCCTGAATACAGGCCAACAAAATTGCGACAGCAGGATGGTAGACAGTTGTCTAGTTCCCAGTCCTCGCCCATTCTCAGTGGTTTTTTGTCTGGTGGAGGGAGTCTGCTGAGCTGTGTGAGTACAGGCACAGGACCATACAAAAAACAATCCCTGGATTCAACCTCGTTCCCAAGGTCTCCCACCTTCCCGCCCCCTGGAGAGAGACTCTGCATAACAGCGGAACGAAGTTTTTAAGAGAGTGCTTGTCCTGCACCAGCTAATTGATTTCTGTCACTGCCTAAAAAGAACAATCCACGAAAATACGGTGGAGCAGGGAGAGAAGTGGGAAGAAACAGTCTCATTGATTCCACTGAAAATTGGCCATTCAAGTCTTTTTCACACGCAGAGTTATTTTAATTCATGCAATTCAGCTCAGCTCAATTTTACAATGCAATCTAACATGGTGGAAATGATGCAATTTTGGTCTTTTCACTACAAAATATCCCAAAATTTTTGCCTTATATATTGATATATTGGATCATTTTAATTTAGTATCAACATCCCAATAGATAACCTTCTGTTGTAAGGAACTTAGGAAGCAGGACAGCACAAGAAGACAGGAAGAAACTCTACACTATGTCTTGTGTTATTATTTCCCCCTTTCGTGGTCTACCGATCCTTCCTATACAACAGAACAGAGCACAGTTGAGCTTTTCTTATTTTTTACATCAAACTAACAGTGCACACATTGTTTAGAACAATCATTTTACTCATTTAGCAAATGATTGCTCTAGGAAAATTTTTACGCCAAATCAAGCTTCGTAAAACAGGCACCAGTCGAAAAAATAAACTGATGTTGATGATCGTAAAAGGTACAAACCTCTCTCCACCGACATCTTGAATTTGAGAATTCTAAAGATGTTGATTTTCCTGCTTTTTATAATAAGTTCAATCAAAGAATTTAAGTTAAGACTTACGGTAAACTTCTACTGGATAAGTGGTAGTACCTGCAGACTAGGTAAGGGCAAAAATACTCACGATAAAAAGCCAAAATACTTGCTTTGTTCTTGGTCACTATTAAAGAGAATGTGGGACCGATTCTCATTGGGGTGGTTGTCTGGAATGGGGATAAGTTGAAAGGTGTTCTTAGTAAGAACCATTTGTCTTCTGGTTTGCTATGGACACAAACTGACAGATAGCCATAAGGGTAGACATATAAATTGTTAATTAGAGACAGTTGTGCAAAAATGGTCAAGGGAAAACAACAAGTACTTGCAGTGTATGCCTATAGTTGAAGTTGAGGGCTGTGATTGTCACTGTGTGGGGACAAGATAAGATTGAAACTGATATGAAAACTATTAAAATGATTTCAAACATTAGGTAAGGAGGTTTCTGGGTGTTGTGACATTCTATCTTCGATTTCTTCCTGTACAAATCTTGTGTGGTCTTGTAAAGGTTTTACAAACATAATTAAGCTTTGTAGATACCTTAACTGGCATTTAGCATTGATCAATAGTTAATCTAGCTGACACTCTGCCATAGAAATGACTAGCAAATATAACCATAATGATACAAATAGAAAATCTTGTAAATATAGATTTTTTGATACATGTACAGGAGTTTAAGAAAAAGTAATGACTCAATACATGGTCCTCATTGAATGAGAAGTAGAGTCTGGAAAAGATAAGAGCAAAGTTGTTGAGTGGGCATGACAGAATGGCTTGATTTGACATAGTGACAGTGAGACAGATTTCATTCAGAGAGTAATCAAGCATTTGCAGAAGATTTAAGGCAGTTGCAAATCAGAATGCAAAAAGAAAGTGAGATAACAGTTATGGATTGCATCTTTAAATGAGCCAGTAAAAAATTAGGTTGTCATGTTGTAAGGTGCTGAGGTGTTACTACAGCCCTTATTTTGTTTGACATTAGTAGTTGTTGTTTTGACCATCATTTGCAGTATGACGTCTATAAAACAAACTGAAAAAGGCCTTTAGTTATTAGGATTGGAAAAGAGAATATCATTTCAAGGAAGACAATGTCACACTCACTGTGCCAGAGTAACCAGAAGAAAAAAAAGGAAAGCACAGCTGCAAATATAAGTAGAACAGTGTTGCACCACTGGGTAATTGCAGAATAGTTTGTTTGGAAGACAACCTGGTATCTGATGATCTGACTTCAGGCCCTTCATCTGCTTTTGGCAGAGAAGCATCAGGCTCACTTTCAGAGTGGAATTGAGTGGGCATTTGTTCAGGTTAGGTACAGTTAGGTTTTTCACTGGGCTGAGTATGGCTGGGGTTTTGCCTGGGTTGGCTAGGGTTTGGTTTCTCGCTGGGCCTGGTAGGGCAAGGCTTTTTACCTTTTTAGGTGTGGTAAGGATTTGACCTGGTTTGGTTAGGTTAAAGGTTTTGATTGGGTTGGGTATGGCTAGGTTTTTGATTGAGTTGGGTAGGGTTGGTTTTTGGCTTCTGTTGGGTAGGGTTGAGTTTACCTCTTGGTGGGGTAGGTTTAGATTTTAGGCTGGTCATGGATCTGGGTTGGCCAGAGCTGGATTAGAGCTCAGTTGAGTACAGGTGGATCTCAAGCTACATTGTCCAGGACTGGGTTTTGGGAGAAGGTTGGAGATGGATTGAGTAGGGCTGCATTTTGGAATCAGCTGGGTAGGGCTTAGTACTGAAATGGGATTAGGAACTGGCTTGGGACTAGTAGGGTTACATGCAGGGGAAGTCGTACTACATTTGCTGTATCTGCATCGAGATGGCATAGCTGGGTTGGAGGAGTGGGAAGGTGCAGGTAGGGGAGGCCAGTCTGTGTCTGTGATCACGAGAGGAAAGGGAACATCTTGGAGGGTGGCGCATGAAGGGTTTATTGGTTCTGGATTGGTTGGGGTAGAGGTGGACGGGCAGTGGGGAAACCACCTGATAAGGATGTCATTGCCTTTTGTGGTGACATGAAGTTTATCTGCCCTCTGCAAGTTTTGATTATACAGGGTAGATGGAATGTCATGGAAATAAACAAATTCTGAAAAGAATTCTTGAACCTGAAAATAAACACAAGAGTTAGTAGAAGCCACGTCTGTATGAAGGTGATTGAATCATAGTAAAATTGGAAATAAATATGTGCAGTTAGACACTATTGTTGCAGTAAAAATAAAAGTTTAGTTAGTGTGGAAGAAATAGTGGCGGGAGAATGTGAAGATAAATTATTAGTGCCACAGAGGAGAGACATATGAGGTACAGAGGAGGGGATGTCCATTACCTCAACTCTTTTAAGGATTGCTTCCACAGTGGCACTGGCCACTCCTGTGATCAGATGATGTCTTCACCTCATTCTCCTTACCACATGCCACACATTTGACAGAGGATGTAGAGGCTAGGCCACACCTCTTTTCCCTAGTAATGTTACATAGTGAAAGTTGAGCTGAAAATTGAGGATCACAGTGTCAGGGACAAGAATTCATCACAGTGGGATTTTTCTAAGATTGGTGTTGTCTATGTACAAAAGACACCAGCATACCACTTCCAAGATAGAATTGCTAACATCTACTTCAGTAAAAATTGTTTCATTTATAGTAGTAGTATAGGTGCCAAATTAACCTGTTAAGCCCTACTTTTTAATTGATTCAAGATGGCCGCCAACATGAGTTCAATAAAAAGTGACTTTTCTGTGACGTCAGCCAGGTGGGTCACGCGGCCAACCTGGTGGGTGGGTTGCATAGGTTAGTCTCAGTGGGTGGTGAATGAATGGATTCAAGATGGCCACCAATAAAAAATTGAGAGAAGTGTCACCAAATGGGGGAAGGGTTCAGAGGCTAAGAAACAAACAAACTAAAAAACCCTCACAGGCATTGGCAGCAACGCTGCCACCGCTGAAGGTAACACTATCCCCATTCAAGATGGCTGCTGCCCATACCCCATACCCCATACCCCTCCTCCTCCCTCCTCACTGGGCCCTGGTATCACGAAAGGAGGGATACCCTCTCTAGTGAACATATAAAAAGCGGATGCAATATTTTGTTTTTGGTTAGTAGACTCACTAGACTTCCAGCATGATGGCCTCAGGTGAGCAAGGACACAGGCTGCAAATAAAAGTTTGAGAAAATCACAAAAAGTGCACAGAATTGAGGTGCATAAAGTGGTGCACTGGTGGGGCAATGGAAAAGAGGTGCGAGGATAATGAGGTAAAAATTAGAGAGTTTGTTGGGGATCTAATATTTGAAATGGCAGATGCTCAGAAATTTGTCCAGGTTCCTCTCAGTCAAGGGATTTGGACCAAACACCGTCTGGGATGGGGAGGACGTCATAGCGTACTACTAGATGAGTGTGACGTCATGAGGGGCAATCACTTATAGGAGACTTTACCATACATTGCTTTTAAAATAGTAAGAGATAATGAGGTAAAAATTAGAGGGTTTGTGGGAAATCTAATATTCAAAATGGCTGACATGGGACTTGACCACGCTTTTTTGGGTACCTGCTTTCACACGGCCCAAATGGAAATGAATGGTGACGTCATGAGAGGGCCCCTCATTGTTGTCATCATTTGCGATTCAAGAGGCCTTTTTTCAACAAAAAATTTTTTACAAAGTGGGAAAAGACTATTTTTGCAAATCTTTAGTTTTACAAAGTGGGAAATCCATCTTCGGCTGCCTGGGCTTGACTTAGATCTTCATCTAAAATGGTGATTTTTTTCTCATAGCCATGCGGATAGGACTGGAAGGTGTTGGGGTTGACCACACGCTTGTCAAAGACAAGACCGTACCGTTTGATACGTGGCACTATGTCAACTTGAACATCAGTCAATGGGGATATCCCCTTTTTGCTGGTCACGTGCCAATGACGTCAGCTCATGAGGGTCCCAAAACGTATTGAGCTTTTTCTTCATCGGTTTGGGCCCAACTCGGGGAGCCGACAGATTCCTGAACAGAGAGCAGGATGGGATGGTAGTCAGATGGACTACATGGGTGACATCGTGGGGGTTGATGTTCTAGAGATACTCCTTTTTTGGATGTCATGAACCAATGTTTTAATGTTTTAATGTTTTTTTCATAAAATCCTTAGTTTTTTATTAATGAATCATAGCTATTGATTAAAAAATTTTTAAACTATTTTCAACAGTGGTGCCGAGGGCGATGCTGGACTTGAAAAAACTAAGCGTAATGAAAAGAAAATATGCGAATCATAACAATTCTCTGACTTACAACAATTTTTTGTGCAAATCTTTAGTTTACAAAGTGGGGGATGCCTGAATCACATAAATGTCAACTAGTTTCAACAAGGGGTACCAGGGGCATTGCTGGATTTGAGAAAACCCTAGGTTATAAAGATTCCCAGGTTCTTTTTATAACCAGAAAAAGGGGACACCCCTCCTCCCCTCCTGTGTGGCTGACATCATAAAAAGGCGCGACATTGATCCACGTGACCCATTCATGACATACCTCAAAAGGAGATAACCACTAGGCAGCTACAGAAGGAGAATGGCAAAGACACCGCACAAAAATGTCATGACTTCTTTATTAAGGAAAAATGCATATTTGATGCCCACTATGATGCACCATGGTTCCTCATGCTCTTGACATCTCACTTCCCAGTAGGCTTTGTGGCACAAGTAGATCAATAGTGTAAGAGGAATGTTACGACATAATTAATTTCATAGGATTCACTTACACTGCCCCTGGGGTTGATGTGTTTGACAATGTGAGTAGTTAAGGAGGTCGGTATGGGGCACAAAGGGATGCCGCCTAATTAGCATATGCCAAACAAAATGCTGTCTAATAAGCATGGGTCAATCAAATCGCAGAGCCATATCAGAACGAACCTCGTGCTCATTTGAGTGATGAGGAAGATGACAAGGAAGAGGATAAAGATGGACTTTCTCCAGCAATCCCTCGGGCTAGATTCGAAGGAGAAATTCCCATCAATGAATGGTAGGATACTTTCTTAAATATACTACAGATTACAAGTTTTATTGTGAACTGATCAAAGAGTTTTCGCTTGCAAATTTCTCACCTTGCACCTTAGTACAAGCTTTATACTCAGCAAAGTTGTTACATTTTGTAGGTGCCAGTGTGGCCAATGCACTACAGAACATTTGTCGAGTGCTCTGGAATACAGATGTTGTTGGGAAGTACTTCAGGCTCCTCAACAATTAGTCTTTGATGGCAGCATGGAGAGAATTAAATGTGTTACCCAGCGCAAAGATTACCTGGCGATGACCAACATGGCAGTTTTTAAGCAAGACGGCCCTGTTCTGCGTGATAAGAATGAGAAAACTTGCTGCTGCTAGGCTAGGCAATTGGAGAATGAGTAAGTTGAAAGTTTTTTTTAGTGTGATTCATACATCATTTCCGTTATCCTGCTTTGAAGCATTTTTTCACCTATCGTTGCAATTCTGGCAGCGAAACATAGTATTATATTGCTGTACTGTTTTTCGAAGTTTTTTCAGAGATTGCCTCTGGATTGCAAAACATCTGACTGGAACATGCTCAGTGGCTCAACAGAGATATGCTCAATTTTATTGTATTCTGATTTTTTTTCCCACAAGTAGAGGTACTTAAAAGCCTATTTGTATGTAGTGGCACTCTTTGTTTACAATTTCAGTCTCAATATCATATCTTTCTAATTTCTCTGAACATTTTAGAAAGTATCAACTCTGAAAATTGAAAATTCCTGGTATGAATAGCATGTCTGGCTCTTAGCATTTATTGATTTGCAGTTCTTGTTTATTAATTCTTTAGATTCTTCAGAGCAGTTGCCTACAGATGGCTTATAAGATGGACTTGCGGGTTTCTAGGATGGGAGAACTCCAGACCATTGCCAGTTTGTGTTTACAAAGGACATCAGGACAAAATTCCCCTTGCACCAGTTGACATCTTACCTATCCTTCCAGCAAAGACAATAAATGAGAAATACTTGTAGATTGATCACTTCATAATTTTGTCATTTTTGTTACAGGGTTCTATACCCTTTCAAAAGCTGATTTTCCTGTTGAAGCTGAGCTGGTTGTTTGACAAAATGAACAAAAATGACAACACAATGTAATGTAAAAGGTGACTTGTAATATTTTATTAAAAACACTTCATAGCAAATCTTAAATTTGTTTTACTCATTTACTGATAATGAAAACAACACTTTGCTGGTGAAACATTTTTATGAGCTAGCACCCTCTGCAGGCTTAAATGAAATTTTCCAAATTTTTGGGTCAGATATGACTCAAAATACAAAATATTCAGATTCAAAGGCGTACTGTAAATCGTAACTAAGCACTGGTTTCCTGGAAGTTCTCATCATGCATTTTGACTAGCAATTCACCCAATATTGGTACAATCAACAAGCTTATAACAGATGCACTTGCTACATAACATAATACATTATTCAGGATCAGAAGGACAGATTAACACATTCCTATCCCTATGATGTCCTCACATAGGCTTTCCACATTTTGAGCATGTAGGAGCCCTTCTCTGCCTGGTTCTGCTTGCAGAATTTGATGTGGTGGTGTTGGCACTGCAACTAGCAAGTAGGGCATCTTGTTCTTCAGCTTAAAAAAAGTGCAGAAAAACATTCGAACTTCTATGGCAAAATGTTAAAAATAGTACTAGTTTCAGGTAATCAATTGGAGAGTGCACAATTTTAAAAAACCAACTTGTGTCATAACACACGTTTCTTTACCAGATGGGTACAACTCTGTATCTAGCCTCTTTTTCTCCCATCATGGAGTTTAACAGCTTCCTCCTTCCTCCTGCGCACTGGGAACTGCATGGTTAAGGACTGTGGAGCCTGTGCCGAGTGCTTTTCTGAGACAGCCTTTAAATCGGCAGCTGGCATAGTGAAAACCAATTTCCTCAACTCTTTGACATAATCTAAAGCAAAACAAACAGAAACAAACAAACAAAATGCAGAAAAAAAAACAGTTTTATCATTATGCAAATCATGGACTACACATAAGAAGTTACTCAGAAGTTTGCTTAGGAATACTTGTACATGTATGTAAGTTAGGTATCATGTTACATTGTGTATGAGTTCATGCTTAGTAAGATAAAAATAAAATAATAATTTCTTGATTTGCAACCACAATCTCACCATAATCTGTCTGCTAATATTTGGGGGCTATAGAGTTAAACCATTTATAAAGTAGAAGGATAGTAGACTAACCATCTGTGGGAGGGACAGCAATGTCTCTCACTACTTCTTCCCCAAGCTTGAATTTAGGATAGGTGACTTTAATGTGAGCATCACCTTCTTTGGACAGTTGGGTTGCTCTTTTCAAATTCTCATTGAAATGGAGTGAAGCCAAGATGTGCCTAGTTATATTAAAGAATACAGGAAACAGGACAAAGGATTGTTGCTTAAGCTAAATATCTTGCCAGCTACCAAAAGACAATTCACATTGTTATGACAATAGCCAGTTTTCTAAATACCTGCAAAAAATGCCCATCCATGAAAAACAGACCATTTTGGAATGCCAATGGTTCAGCGTAGCATGAAACCCTTCAAGGCAACTAGTTTGCGCATCAGGATAAAGTTTCTTTATGTCTCCAATGAGCCTGGTGCTCATCAAAAGGCTATTTAGCTTCTCGTATGTCTTGGTTCCTGTAAAATTGAAATATAAGATTAGTTCATATTGGAACACAAACACTTACAGGTTAACACAAAGATCAAACTGTCTGTTTTCCACTGAACATTGCATTAGCATTTTAAGGTGACTATTATAACAGATGGGTGTGCCTGGTCTACAGAAAATTAATGTGCCTGTTTGAATTGAATAAAGCGCTCAGATAAAATCAAGGTCAAAATTTTGGTGCCAGTAAGAGAGGGTCATTTCACACTACTTTTAAAGTACAAGATACAAGAGGCTACAGAAACAAAGGCAACAAGAACTGTAAGGTACAAATTCATCACAATATACATACCAATTTTTATCCATCTATGTGGGTCCAGCACTCCATGGGCACACGTCGTGAACAATGAATCTGGGTTATGATCATGCTTGTTTGCCACATGGCAAATAAAGGATTTCCACTTGGCTAGAATCAGACTCTCAAAGCCTTGCTTAGTAGAGGTTGTGCACCAGTAAAGATGATTTCTCACACCTTTTTGCCATTTTCTGAAGGGCCACCTGTCTGATTTCCTCTGCTGCAGCTTTTTCTTTCTCATCTGTTGCCTTCTTCTCATTTCTCAAGGTGTCTCTTTTCTTGTGCGCTCTTTTCTTGCTCCTGAATCTTTTCCAGCAAGATATTAAGCTCTGCAGGCTCGGACACATCGATCCAAGATGCTTTCTCTTCTTCTCTTTGCTTTAGTTTGTGCCGAGAGATCAGAAGTGCATATTGATCTCTCACTGCCCTCGCTGTAACCCTGAACTCTGGCATCTTCAGAGCATTCAAATAGGCTGCGATGCTTTCCCATACTTTCCCTCTCTTGCTGCTTTTCAGTTTAAAATTGTAAGCTTCACTCGTTACAGCTTCGCAAAGCATCAAAACATCATGGTCTTCCATCCAAACGAAATACCTGGATTTACTTGCTGTCAAAAGAACACAGAAGTATATATTTTTTAGTACCAAAACTGAAGATTTATACATTGAAGTGCACCTTAAAATTAGCACAATGATATACAGGTCTAAAATAAGATGAGCATGATTTTAAATATCCCAAAATTTTCCTTAAAGAGTTACAGAAAAACTTACATTTCTTTGGAACTGGTTCTTGCTTAGCTGTAGAAATGTGGCCGGCCATGGTTTCGGATGCTTGAGTGTGAGTGTCCCTGAGCTTACAAAATTCTATCATGGCTTGAACTGGGCATAAGCATGAGATCCTCTTGTGCTATGGAGATATCAAATGGACAATGGTCGGTATTGTGCTTGCAGTTTGTTATCGTTATTTTAGTCACGCAAATACTGCCTTGTGTGAGAAAGCGCAAATTACTGTATTGAACTACTGCACCGCCAGAAGTGGTGCTCTTGGCCGCTAGCTCCCCAATTCAAAAAAAGCCATCAAAGGCTAGTAAGAACATCTCGGAGAATAGGGCACGTTGAAAAGCCGAAGAATTGGTAAGACTGAGTGATCCCACGAGCTTGTGGAGCTTGAACCCTGACCAATCCTGTCAACACCTTATTGATAAGAAAGGCCTTTGTGGGATTGCACAAACCTTTTTATTTTTTGCACTTAACAGATGGCCGACAGATAAGATTTAGTTGTTGATGGTGTAAATTTATGCACATGAAGATAAGAAATAAAAAGAGCTAGGGAAGGTATTGTTAATGGCAATATGGGATCATGTGAATGGTAAAACTGACAATGAAACTTGTTAAAAACAGCTCATGCCCTCTGATAGAGCTTCCAGGAGCTGAGGACAGGGCGGAATTGAACAAAGCCCTTAGCGTAGAGACCAACTCTGTGTTAGAAGATGTGGAGGAACAAAAGTTGGCGGATTGTCTGCTCCAGGCAAGATTTGCTTGAACTGCTTTACCTGAGATGGTGAAATGTAATCGATTACATTTCAGAAGGATTACGCCCTCTTCCTCTCTCCCTTGAACTGTTTTCAGGGCTTTGGCTGCCTTGGGTTCTTTAATCTTTGAGGAAGTTACACTCAGCACATAGGTGTCCTCTCTTCTTGCAATACCAGCAGTGTGCTGAAAAAGAAATTAGGTACATACGAGTGAGAATTTCTTGTATTTTAGCTCAGGCTGAAATATTCACCTGGTTAGAGGAGCTATGAATTCAGGCTGGGTTTTCAAGTAAATCCACTTAAAATCAAGTAGAGATTTCACAAGTAGTCAGAATAATTATTCATATGTTTGTATTATTTCTCTGTTTGTATTGTTTAAAAGCAAAGAAAAGGCCAATTTCTTGAGAATTGACTTCATGATTCCACAGAAAAAATGGCTTTAGAAGATATTGAGTTAGTTGAAAATGTTACTAATCTTAAATCACCGTTTGAAAAAATTTTAATTTGCACCAGCATTTATCACAAGAACGAAAGAAAGGTTTCATTCCCATCATATAAAACGGTTTGAAAAAGTTTTGCTAAAAAGAACATGTCAGCTTCACATCAGCAAGTTTCTTTTTGATGTAGAGTACGAAACTTTCAGTTTTGTTTATGGTGACAATGGGTGTTTCCCTTGGCCATTTTGTGATTTTCATGACAATCACTACTCAAGAATTCAAGCTTACCAGTTGATCTCTTTAGCTTGGCAGATAGCTCTGAAACCAAAACACAAATGATTTTCCAAATTAGCTTAATGCAATATGTTAACTGTGTTCAAAATTTTGTTGTCTGTTGTTTCATGTTCCGGTATATCAAACAACATGCAAAACATTTGATATATGTACCTTGATTTTGAGCAAGTAATCTCTCGAGATCTGCAAAAAGATTATGAAGCAATTAAATAGTGGATGAAAGTGGGACCTCAAGTTCAGAATCTCTTTAAATCATAAGCTCTAAGAAAAGCAATTAAGGTTTACTTGATGATTTAGATCATGTTAGTTGAGTTTCAATGCTGAGAAATTAAATACCCAACACAAGTGCAACTACCTTTTTAAACATTTGCCTTACCTGAAGGAGGATGGTTTGTCAAAGCATCGCCAGGCTTGGCTACAAGAAAATGAGGTTTCACAATTTTAACACAATATGTTAACTGTTTTAATTCCTGAGCAAGAAAATGTATTGCGTTATTGCAACACAACAGAAGTTCAACTAGTTTTAAGCGATGATGTAGTCAGAGCTTATATGTTGGCATGCATTGCATTCTTTTGGATAGGCAGCATAGAGCTTTTGTTGTGCTGCACTTATGTCGCGCACGATTTGCCGCTGTGTGGAAGGGAAATACAGTCTGAGAGGTAGTAAATAAGCACCATGAGCATTGTATGAGCACTGAAATATCTGAACTGAACTTATGTGTGTGGGAGACATGATAGGTCAAGGTTCTACATTAAATTTACGTATTGGTGAACTTTGTTTAGGGCTGAACTTAACATATTTGTGGGCTGAAATTGTGGATAGTGGATTTGTATTCAAGACTGGGCTTGCCATTGCTTGATGGCATCCAAGAAATGGTAAGTGTTCTTATTCATTTACTTGTACAGGCAAAATATTAGTGCCTTATATATTTCATGAATGTGTGATATAATGCTAAATAAATAAATCAGTGAATCATCTCAGACATTTTGTTCTGCTCTATTACACATACACTAAATTATTACATAACAGTGACAAATTTGTCTTTTATTTCTTGGCAGTGTACAAATGATAATCAAGATAGAATGAAACGTTTGGAAAGAAAAAGGACTACAGAGGGAAAAAAGAAGCGGGTCCAATTGAAAATCAACAGGACAGAAGAACAAGCACTAAGGTAAAGAAAAACTTTGATATCGCAAATCAAACTGCATAAACTATTGTACCAAAAAAACATGCAAAATACAAACACAAAATTAATGTCTAAAATATTTGTATAGTAATTTTTACAGAAGTAATAATATTTTGTATTTATCCCAACAGCCAAAAACTACTCTTGCAGGAAACATATGTCCATTTTTCTCTTTTTAGATGCTTCAATTTATATTATTACTGTATATTTCTACTTGTTGTTTGTACTTTGACTGATCCTGTGAGCTTGTGAAAGAAAGCAAAACTTATGTTAAAATGTGCAGTGATATATATGGGTTATTTGCCAAAAGTGAAGTAAAGATGACTAGATGTTCACCACATTTAGTTGGAACAAATGGAAACAAAATATACTTTTATTGACTTTGCTATTTTAGAAAGAAGCACGTAAAAAACTGCCAAATCAGACACACAAATGGTGATGAAGATGGAGAGGAAACTTGTAATGAGGAAGAAG